TGGTGTGAGCCTTGATCCATGAGGTGAGGAAGAGGAGGCTCAGGAACGTTTTGGTGAACTTCAGGGACTTCCCTGGTCAAGGTGGAGTGGGAAACTCAGGTATAAGAAAATCTTCCCTTGGGCTGGGGATGTGGCTCAAGCGGTAGTGCGCTCGCCTGGCATGCGTGCGGCCTGGGTTCGATCCTCAGCACCACATACAAACAAAGATGTTGTGTCCGCCAAAAAAACTAAAAAATAAATATTGAAAAATTAAAAAAAAAAAAAAAAGAAAATCTTCCCTTAGGTATTAGGTCAATCACATAATTTTGCAGAGATTTATGTTACAAGGATGTCTTTGAATGATTTTGATATTTATCAGAATATCTGTTCTCACTCTTGGGAACTATCATTTGTCAAGTATCAGGGATAATGAAACCATGGTTCATGTGCCTGAGAGAGGAGGAATGTCTCTCTGAGGGGAGACACGTGTAGCTATTACTCAGACTTGAGAGAGAGGGAAATGGTGGGAGCAGGTTATTAGTATGTCACCCAACCTGTCTGTGTGTGTGTGTGGGGGGGGACAAAGGTGGAGGTTAAAGGTGAAGCTGCAGGGAAAGGTGGCGGCAGTGATGGTCAGGGGTAGGCATGGAGACAGGCGGCTTTGGATGGCAATTAACATGGCTTCTCTGTGGGCTTATCCCACTAAACTGCTGGTTCAGCAAGGTCTTCAAAGCCACATATCTTTGTCTCTAAAAGTGTAACTTTGGGGATAGTTTTACTTGAATATGGAAGACTCCTTGATCAAAGAACTTCTCTTCCTTTCTCTGGGTGGGGTTCTGAACTTCCTCCATCCAAAGTGGGACCCGTCCCTTTGTTACAGGCTGTTTTGTGGAGTGTCCACTACATCCACCAGGATGGGAGTCTATGCTCTCATCCTGGTGAGAGTGGAAAGCTCCACTTTCCTCTTTGGAGGAACCTTGAGACATATCTGCAAGCCTGTGGGGTAGTGTTTTTATGACCTCCCAGGTCTCCTCTGATTAAACACAAAACCCAAGGAGAGGGTAGGAACTGGTCCATCCCAGGGGAGGTGGTGGGGTAGGGTGAGGAGCCACTGTTTCCTCCACTGTCCTCTGCTGACTCACACCTCAACCCCTCTCCCCCAGGATATTGACATGGTGGCCTGGTAACAGGGTGAAGCAGAGCCCACTTCCTGGTTTCATATTTGATGGCATCCCTCTACCAGACAAATGACAAATGAGTATAAGATCGACAGCCCCAAGCCACATCCTAGTGAGTCAGACTCAGAGGCTCACACTCTCAAAGATGAGCTCTTTAAACAAATTATCACTTTCTTGTGAATAGAGTAGAGGCTGCTAGATAAATACCGACACCAGACTCTTCCATCTAGCTTCTCGGACAGCCCAGCATTCACAGCACCGAAGAGCCAGGAAGGGTCTACTTGTGACTCTTCTCTCACCAGCTTACAGTGGTTTACACTTTTCATGAGCTTCCTGCCCCTTGCCAGGACAGTAATGCCTAATCAGAGCCCAAGTCATGATTTTGCTAACCTCAACTATACAGAAAAAGCTGGGACTGGTTGAGGAACACTTCTGGATATTCTGAAATAACAGGTGGCATTTCTTAACTCCTTACAACATTCCATGCCAGGTGCTGGGCATTCACATATTTGAAGCTCATTTAATCTTCATGACAATCTTCTGAGACAATGGATCTTTACTGTTTCTATTTTGCAGATGAAGAAAGTAAAAATCGGCAAGGTAAATACAGTTTACCCCAGGTGACACAGATAATATGTTCAGAAGGAGAGATGAAACTTATCCTAGGTAGTGATACTATAAGTCAATAGAGTGACTTTTTTTCTTTAACATTAGGGTCCACTCTTGGGGTTGTGCTTTCTGTATTCTGGGAGTTTGGGTATATGACATATACCCTTCATTATAGTTTCATACAGAATGAAATCTGCCTTAAAAATCCCTATGCTCTACCCATTTGTGCCTCCCTAGCTCCTAACCCTGGGAAACCAGGGATCTTTTAGTTTCCATAGTTTTGTGTTTTCCAGAATGGCATATCCTTGGAATCATACAGTATACAGCCTTCTCAGATTGGCTTCTTTCACACAGTGATACAGATTTAAGATTCCTCCATGTCTTTCATGGCCTGAAAGCTCATTTCTTTCTAGTGCTGAAAATAACATTTCTTTTTCTGACTGTTCCAGTTTATCCATTCACTTATTTTTAAAAAAAATTTTTTTAAAGCTGTAGATGGACACAATGGCTTTATTTTGTTTATTTATTTTTATGTGGTGCTGAGGATCCAACCCAGTGCCTCATGGATACTAGGCAAGCACTCTTATCACTGAGCTACAATGTCAGCCCTATCCATTCACTTACTGAAGGACATCTTGGCTATATCCAAGTTTTGACAGTTATGAACAAAGCTTCTATAAACATCTGTATGAATAAGGTGATTTTAAATACTTGGTATGGGAATACAGATACCAAAAAACAAGGATTTGATGTAGGTCTGCAGGTGTTAGATTTTGATGAGCAGAGATAGGTGAAAAGATTGTTTTGGAAGAGAGAACAAGATAGCAAGTATTTTTTCAATGTTTATCACGAGCCAGGCAATCTGCTGGATATAAGTCATTCTAATTAAACCTAACAGTGATCTCCTAGAACATTCCAGTAATGACATTATGACTTTTTTCCCATATGTGAAAGCCAATGCTAAGAAATGGTGTATATCTTTTCCAAATTTCAAAGCTACAGAAGTCATAATTGAAGTGGATTTGACTCTACTGCATACACTCTTTGTCCTACTCCACTGGGCTCTCTATCCAAGGGCAAGGAGATCAGAGTGACTCAGTGGCTTGATCATAAGACTCAGAAAGCTCATAAGACAAGGAGACTGGAGCCAGGCTGCAAAGGGCGCTGACTTGAGCAGTGTGTGGTGACTATGGGTAGTGGGACCACCAGTGTGTGCAGGTCACAGAGAGAGATGGAGGATGTGCAGGGAGGAAGGGGAGGGAGCTCCTTTTTCTACCTTACAACTTGTCTGAACTGTTGGTTTTGATGCTTTTAGAGGGTTCTGAGAATATGCAAATGGCTACCCCTTGGTGACCTTCTCAGGAGAGGGAACAGGATGTCTGAGTCTGGAGTTCCAGTAGATCAACCCAAGGGGGGCAGTCACATGTGCTTTCCTTGCGGCCTCTTCAGCTTCTCAGTCCCCAACGATATCCTTTTGGTCACTAGCACCACGTAACATCAGGGCACTTCAAACAGCTGGGAAATTTCTTTGGTTTTCAAGAACCTTTAGGAGACTTTTGCAATGTCCATTAAAAAAAAAATCACAAGGGCTTTGAGATCAGACAGCTTGGAGTAAATTTGTGAATGAGGAAGTTTCATGTTTTTTTTAAATTAAAATTGACATAGAATTGCAACTTTTAAAATTGGTGCCCACAATCTTCTAGTGATCTTTAAAGATGACAAACTGACACCTATAAGCCTTATAAAACTAGCCTAGAATGACCCAGGACCTGCCCTGAACCCAGGTGCTGCCTGCTGAGCCTCATGCTCCTTGTGCCACAGGCCGCTTCTGACCCTAACACATGGCCATGCACCTGGCACACACTAGGCAGAGAGCAGCGGGGGCGTTTATTTACCCAGGGAGCACTGTGTGGGCACAAGGGAGTCACAACAGCACACAGAGGGGAGGGAGCCAAAGACTCCCACTTCCACCATGTCAGCCGCTCTCTCCACAGCTTAGTATTGAAGGAAAACTCGTGCGGAGGCTCAGTGCCTGTTGGTTTCAGCTGGGGGAGGCATGTGATTGTGCTTAAAGGGAAGTTCCTCATCTGTGCGGGGAGTCCCCACTGGAATCCTCTCAACTGGGCCGTAGTCTGCCAGGAGAGTGGGAAGCAGGGATTCCACTGCCCAGGGCATGAAAACAAATGTCTCCCACACCTTCGATCAGGACATCCTGCCAGAAATAACCTTGTGGGAAGAGCTGCTGTCTTGGCAGGACAACAGGCCTTCTTTTTCCTCTTCTAGTAGGAAATATAACCATATGGTACGAAATTTAGGAAGGAAAAAAAAATAGACCAGGAAGAGCAAGGGTCCCTACTACCCCTGGCCTCAGGCTTCCAGTTCCCTTCTCCAGAAGGGAACATTTGCCACCAGTTTCTCCTACATTTTTCCAGATACCTTCAATGCCCATAGAAGTGATATTACTCTTCCGTCGCACATGGCACTATACTTCCTGTATGATTCTGTCCTTTGACAGTTTCACTTAACAGACTTTTGATTTGCTCCCTATTGAGCTTTTGTTTTTTAACCACCAAATGACTGTGGACATTTACTCCATCTACCAAGCTTCCTCTTCTCATGGTTTCACTTGTTTTCTTGCCACTGAGGGTGGATATTGTTCACATTAGGTTTTTCACTGTGTTGAAGAAAAGGAAAAGATGCAATGTTTAAAAAAATAAAAGCTATATTTAATTCTATTGAACTCTAAAGGATTAAAATAGATTTTATTGCCTGTGTCCCCTGCAAACACCATGTGCTGATTCCTGTGTTATAGTGGAAGAAAAGCACACAAGAAGTTTCCAGAACTTGCACCCAGCAGGTTCTGGGAATCTGTGGTCATGATGGATTGATTGGTCACAGACTTCTCCATGAGGAACTCTCTATGAATGGGTTTCTTAACAAGAGAACTAGTAAGTGTACTGTTATCTAAAAGGGGAAGTTGGGGCCCCAGTGAGCCAAAACAGTGCACCAGAGAGGAGCTTGGCAGAAAGGAGAACAGACCTCAAAGGCTGGCATGAAAGAGCAGAGTGACCCTGACTTATCTTAAGAAATGCTATAGAAAAGCAAGAGACAGGCAGAAAATCCAACTCTGAGTCTTTGTTAAGCCTTTCCCTCCACAGGCTCCTGGGTTTCCGTTTCATTTGGCTCTGATGCCTTTTTCACCCCCCCTAAAATATATCCTTTTTCATCCCTTAGGTGCAGTATCCTTCATTTCAAAGTATTAGAATACAATTTAATGGTAAGTATTGTCAAAAGTTTAACTGATCCATATTTTTGAAAGGATCTTCTCTTTAGCCTCTTAATTTCCTCACAAGATCTATCCTTTTCCTTGGGGAAGTGTGACATCCCAGGATTGTTGGGACCTGAATATGATTTTCATTAGGGACACAGAGGTGCATAGGAAGCAGGGAGGAGTGGTCGGCCACCACATCCATACTTGTCTCTGTACTTCACGGGCCTCACTTTATCCTCCAGGGACGCTTGAGGGTGAATAATTCTCATGCTTCAGCTAAGGAGACAGAGGCTTTACCTTTTACAAGTCTGTCTGACCTTAGGACACATCATCTGCTGGCTCTGTTCTGGGACAAGATTTTACCTTAATGAGAGTTGGGGAAGGCCCTGATATTTTGACTATCAGGAGAGCACCATGATTACAGTCAACCCCCACTGGTTTCTATATTAATTCATTGGCTTGTTAAGTTCTCTGAGGCTGAAGGGAAGTACCTTTTGCTCTCTATAAGTGGTGTTTATTTTCAATTCAAAGTATGCCCCTTGGGACTGATATAAGGCAAGAATTACCAAGTTGTGGCCAGCAGTGGAGACATGTTTTTTCCCATCACTAAAGAACATCCTCCAGAATAGGTGTCCACGATGTAGTTGCTTGGCCATTCATCATGCTGTTGGGCTGATGTGGAATAAAACAAATTTAGGCTCTTTGGTTTGCACTTAGAATTGCCCCATACACAAACTACCAAAGCTTCTCCTGCTCCTGTTCCTCCTCCTTCTCCTCCTTTTCTTTCTTGTATGGCAACAACTCTTCCCAAGTCACCTTCCAGGAAGAATTAGCAATAGAGGGGGAAGGGAGAAGCAAGTCGGAGTCCTGGAGCTCTTCAACCTGCACTGGCTTCCTGTGCTTAGCTGCAGACTAACCTCACTGGCTGCTTAATGCCGTCAGTAAGTCTGATGCCCACAGGCAGTGGGGAGAGGCTAGGAAACTATTAAAAGCAATTGCTTTGAGTGAAGCTAGGAAGAGGTGTGCAGGACCAAGGCCAGGGGCACCACTGCCACTCTGTGCTATAGTCTGTCCCCTGAGCAAGCAAGGAAGAACTGAAGCTGCCAACTCCATGCAGTTTTGAAAAATCTGGGAAACCTTAAAGCCACCTTTTCTGCAGTAGGTCAGCCATGACAATTTCTATAATCCCTCAACTCAGGAATCCCAGCCCCATCTGAGACTCTCTCTGCAACTGGGATTAGCTCTGCCTCTACTTGCATTCCACAGGGGAAGGGGATTCCAACCCATGGGTAGAAACACAGTGCTTGCTTCCACTCTTTAAAAATATCTGTCTTCCTTCACTTTCTCTTCACTTGATTTTAGTTGTATTGGAAGGTTGTTGCCTAATGTAGTACTTAAGTATCTCTATTTTTTATTCTAGCCCTGCCCTTTTCAGGGTGTGAGAAGAAATTTTTCCGCATTATACCAGAAAAGGCTGAGACCATGAAGGTGGAAAACAGCTCAATCATTATCAACTGTGATGGGTTTTATCTCATCTCCCTGAAGGGCTACTTCTCCCAGGAGGTCAATGTCAGCCTTTACTTTCGGAAGGGTCACAATCCAATCTCCATCCAGAGCACCAACAAGAAGGTCAACTTCATCACGGTGGTCTCTTTGGCTTTCAAAGACAAGGTGTACCTGAACCTGAGTGCTCACAATACCTCCTGCCTCCCAGTGAATGGTGGGGAATTGATTCTCATCCACCAAAATCCTGGTGGATTCTGTGCCCACTGAGGATCTGATGGCCATACCCCAAACCAGGCACCAGCACGAACACCAAGCTGGGGGTGGCAGGACACTGATTCTTCCTTGTGAGTGGAGTTCTTCATGCTCGGCCACACGGGATGTGAGCAGAAGCAGATCCTGCCCTACCCCCTCACTCAGGGATATTTAAAATGTACTGTGTGTACCCCATTAACCTTATTTATCCCTCATCTTCAAATCACCCAACTCATCCCCCACGATTGCCTTCAGCCCACTAGGAACTTTTGTGAAAATCAAAAACCAAATGCTTCTAACAGACAGATTGGTCAGGCAACTGTTTAAATAAACTTTAGTCACTGAAAAAGGCACTTGGCTACAATTTGCTGGAAATTTGAGATGTGTATGGCATTGTCAAAATGAAGAGGAGCCAAGAGAGGGTTATGAGTCTGCAAAAAAGTGGTGTTCACCAATCCCTGGGAATCAAAATGAACTCTCCAGCATTCAACTGATGGCCGTTTGCATACTACTTATATCCCTCTTCCTTGGTGGGCTTCAAGAGGGACTTGAAGACAACTGTCTAAGAAATACCATGTACTCTGGGACTTTTTTTCATTACCACTTAGCTTTTCCAACTTCCAGACATATGTAATAGAAATCTCCCTTCCCAAGATCCATCTTGGGAATACTATGCTGTGAAAAATCTAATCAATGATTAAGAGAAACCAAGAGAGATTTTTCCCTGCAGGGAGTGTGTGGTAATGTGAGAGTTATCTTTATCTCATAGGAGAGCAGTAAACTGGACCTCAGGATAAAAGTCAGTAAGGATTGGGACGGTCTGGGGAAGAAACCCCTCTCTTGGCCATAGACAAGCAAAGCAGTGCACCCTCACCTTCCTGCCATGTTGAGATCCCTCCTCAGCAGCACGCTGTGTGCTGAAAAATTGGTAGGTCTTCCCCACCCCTGACCAAAAAATGAAGTAATACTACAATCAAATGCAGTTTTATGTCAAATAGCACTAAGAAGCAATTATACCTTATGAAAAACAACCATCTCTGTCCAGAAGTACTAAGTGCTACATATGATCTCACAATGAAACCAGAAGGACCTATAATTGGCCATTACCAAATCTTCATATCCCTGTTGAACTTGAAATAATGAACCATGCATATGGCATTGTGATTTTTATGTCAAATTTTTAGATTATTTGCAAGTTCTCCGTGCCAAAATTTTTATTAATGTAATTTTTGGCAATTTAAAAAATTGTAGTGAATGTTTCCCTGCTGTTTTAAATAGGAGATACAGTGTACCCTAAAGTCTTTCTGGATGATTCTGTGTCATTGCAGGAACTGTACTGAGTGAAGTACGTGGTTACCTCTAGGACCTCCAGGAAGGCAGAAGACTGTCATCCTGATACTAAGTGGTCTCAGTTCCATTTGGGCTTTTTCCTGTTTGATGCTTTTCTATTTCTTCATAAGTGCCTATCTCCAACTATATTCCAACCCTCTACTTCAGGCTATTAAGAAAGAAGCTAAATAAAAATTCTATACAACTTGTGGGTAAGGTAAGAATAATCAAGTTCTGAGTGGTCACCAAGGTACTCATGGAGTCACGGTCATGGCTAAACACTTATGGAGGGTCCACTCTAGACCAGGAACTGGGCTAATTGCTACATGAATTATTCTGAGCAAGATATTCTGTGCTGTATTTGCCTACTCAGAAGATTTATGTGTGTTTTGTGTATAGTTTACTTTTGTCATTGACTATATTATGCAAAATTAAGTGATATTTTAAAAAGCAATGTTTATGACTACAGGTAGTATTTAAAAAAATATATGTCCACTTTTTAAAGTTTGGAATTTTTGTCTGTGTTTCTCAGAAATGTGCGGTGCACAGGCCAGGCCGAGCTCTGTTGTCCTGTGGCTGGTTGTCCTGGACACCAGGGTCTCTCCCTGTGGGGACCCCTGCTTGGCTCTTTCCATGCTGGCCTCCTTCAGCCACACAGGGATACTGCTGCTGGGTACCAGCTTCACCCCAGACTGCCACCCGTCAAAATCTGTTCTGTGTGCCAGGCCCTCCAAGTCATATCCTTCAAAGAGATGATTAACCCTGAACTCAACGATGTGGAAGAGATCTGTGGAAAGGGAATTAAGTGACAAGTCAGGAGACAGGACTTCTAAATTTGACTTAGTTACTAACTAGCTAAGTGACCTTGAACAAATAGTTCCTCATTTCTGCATCCTGCTTTCCTCTTGTTAAGTGACAGGAAAGGTAATGTCTAACAGTTTAGAATGTTATGCTCATGTAGCTGAGAATACATATATTAAATGTGCTCGTCATACTAGTTGCTATATTCAAGAGACTTAACTTTCTCTTTTACTGTATGGAGTATATTTCTGCTCCCACTCTGCCCCACCCTGGCCAAACCAAACATCTTCCTTTTGCCTTCTTGGTAATCCCAGTTGTTGCCTAGCTAGTGACTTTCTATCTAGAGAATGCTTATGTTATTCTAATCCTAGGGAAGGTAATACTTTCTTCTTGAGCACACTGGGCAGGTCCCCTATTCAGTCATAACTTTGTATTTGTGCATTCTTGGTTCTCAAAGAATATAAATATTGATATTAATAATATAGATGATTAAAGTATTGATATTTACATAAAAACAAATAAAGGATCTCAGAATCCAGTACTGGTTAGAGTGTTGGAGTTATTATTTTTCCTTCTTCAAGTTCTGGTTAACTAGTCTCCTGGTGCGGGGAGGATGAGATGAGTTTTCTGGTTTCCTATCATCTGCCTCCAATTTTACCCATCAGAAGTATGTCCAGAGGATGGTTGAGCTGGTGAAGTCCATTTTTGCTTTTGAAAAGATGATCTCTGGAAGTCCCCAGAGTCACAGTCCAAGACAGTGATGAGGAAGAGTTCCCCCATGCACAGCTCCCCCTTCCCTCAGGACCTCTCACCTCATTTCTAACCGTGGGGTCATCGCTTTGAGCATCATGTCCCCTCTTCCTAGTAGTAAGTATATCTGCTGTCTCAGGAAGAGGTCACACTGCAGTGGGCCGTGGGGCACAGTCTGGCCATGCTGACCTCTGTGCTCCCTTGGATGGTGTTGGTGACCCCCTGAAGCTCCCCTCTGCCATGGCTTCGTTGACCTCACTTCCTCCCCTTCCTCTCTGTCCTCTGCCTTTCCTGGTCTTCATTGCCCTTCCTTTTTCTCTGTTCACCCCTTTGGTGCTGGAGTTCCTCAGAACTCTCAGTCCTCCTTCTCTACATCAGTGATCATAGTCTGGCAACAAATAAGCCACAGTCTGACCTTGTATGCCTTTTATTTGTTAAGCTGAATTTAGTTGCCAACATTTAAACATTGAGAAATTTTTGGCTTCTTTGGAGAGCAAAACCCAAAACAAAACAGGCCCCAATTTTGGCACGAGAGTAACCATCTAAAGCTTCCATCTTCAGGGATATTCAGCGTTTCCAATTTCCAGGGTCCCCACCATTCACACGATGTATAAAAGTGCTCATATCTACTCACTCCACTCACTTGTTGCCTGGCTTGAGGCATCTGAGTTGTCACCTATGCTCTGAACACTTACCAATGCCATCAATTATTATGCCTAAACCATAGTGCGTGCACTGATGATATCTAAAACCACTTTTCTGCCAAGTATCTTCCATTCTTGTGTCATGTTTATTGTCACCACTTGTGTTAATCATAACATGCCACTTACTGAATACTCACTCTATGGAAGGATCAGATTAGCCATTTATAAGCATTATTTAATTCTATCCCCCCAACAACTCTTTGGGGTAGAAATTATTATGATTCCTAATTTGCATATGAGAACTTGAAACTCTGAGAGGTAAACTTGCCCAAAGGCCTGCAGCTACTAAGTGGTGGGACTCAGATTCAAGACCAGACAGTTGACACCAGAGACCATGATCTTAACCACTGCTACTGTCTCTGGGCAGTTCACATGAATGCAGTAGGTACTTATACTCACATGTCGACAATGAGCATGCTGTCTTCCTCGCCCAGCCCCTCCTCCTGAACCATGATTTTGGTTAAAGGCATTGCAATCACTCCTGAATCCAGAAGCCCAGGATCTGCCTACTTTCCTCCATCCAGTCTTTACCCACTAACTACTCACACACATCCTATTTATCATTGCAGCCCCATAATGAACTCTCAGGTTGCACCCAACTCCCAGGCTCCCCAAACCACAACTTGAAGGAAAAAAGAAAAAAAAAAAAATATATATATATATATATATGAATGTCTTTGCTAGTCACACACACACATCCTTATGAAATGGTTTGACAATTTCTTTGGAAAATATATATGCAGGAGGGGTATTTGTAAGTAATAGTTTTTGCCAATATCCAAAAGCCTACAAGCCTGTCGCTATGGCTTCCCCAACTCTTCATTTACTCTCCCTCATACTTTTATAAGGAACTCCCATGGGGCCTCCTTGCCTCAGTTAGTTCTGTCTGATGAAGAAGGGGATACACATTAGCTCAATGGATGAATGAAATGAACAAACAGAATGAGGCAAGGTGGGGATTCAAGATGGTGAATCAGAGGAAGGCTGCATCCAGTGGTTCTGCGGCTCAGGATTCAGCATGAACACTTCTCAGCAAGGTAGGTGAAAGAGAGAGTTCACTAAAATTCAGTATTGAGCAGAGTGTCTTAGAGACTCAGGAATTTGGGTGCATTAAACAAACAACAAGAAAGAATACCTTAGAGCTCAGCTGGTTCACTACAGAGGGGAGGGATAAAAAGAGAAACAAAAAAGGGAGATTTGGCATGGAAAAACCTGTGGATTAGAAAAGCAGTTGAACTTAGTTGATCCAGAGGCTGCACAGCAAACTAGTACTCTGAACCTCTCAACTGGCAAGCTGAGGGTGAGGTGGGAGCCACATTGCGGTGGCCATGCTGCAGCTGCTGCTGCAGGAGCTGGGAGGTCATAGTGCGAGTTGCCATACTGTCCTGGCAAGTGCCTAACATGTGACCTAGGGTGTGCCTAGCTGAATGT